TGTTTCCTGCTTGCAGATTTGGGGCTCTGACAGCCTTCTTTCACTTTGTCCTCTCTCTGTTCCTTTTAGTTCAAACTGGCAGTGTTGCTGCTCGAAGACTCTCAAGAGCCTGTGGGACTACCATATGCGCCCTCCATTAGACAAGAGGCCCCCTCAGAGATCCTGTCTGGATATTCCCGCCTCTATTTTTGGCTTCTCCTTAGAAGCTGAGGGAATCAGAGTCCCACCCTTGATCTCTTCAGAGTGTTTTGTATAAGTGAGTACTCTGACCTTTCAATCTTTCTGAGGTTTTAGCAAAAAGACTATAGAGTAACCCCTTTGACTTTTTCTCTACAGCATGTTTTCCTACTGGATCTTTATTTTAGCATCCTTTGCCATTTTGGTAGGCTAAGAATTTCCAAAATTAAGAACTCCTGGTTCCTTTTTGTAAAAAGGTATAATTGACATATAACATTGTATTAGTTTCAGGTGTATAAAACCTCGATACAGTGGGACCTTGACTTACAGTTTAATTCGTTCCGAGACCGAGCTCATTAACTCAAATTACTCTATCAACTCAATGCAAAAAAATCAGCCGAAAGGCAGCTGGTATCTCAAAAAACTCGTTAGTCGGGACACTCGTATAGTCAAGGCCCCACTGTATAACAGACTCAGGCAAGGAGGTGTCCATTAAAGCCGAAAGTCGGTTATATAAAAAAGTAGGTTTTCCAAATGTATATGTTAAAAAATTGACAAATTAGTTCATTTACCTGTTTTCACTTATATAGACATGACATGATTGTGTAATTAAAATTTAAGTATGTATGAAAAGTTTAATTTCACAGAAAGGTTTGCTATATTACAGTCATTTTAACTTTATACTGAGTAGGTCTAACAAATACATGCATTCACATCAAGAGTCAACAGGTGCACACGGCTGGGGCGTGGCTTAGCGCACGTGGAACATCGGCTCACACGTGTTAAAACTGCTGCAGAAAGTCACCCCAGGGAACAAGAGGACCAATCACCGCCCCCGATGCAGTGATCATGTGCTAATCGTTCGCCAAACATTGTGAGCAGCGACTCTTGGATTTCAATGTGTAGATTAGAGGGGGAGATACGTAATATTTATTTTTGTCAGCGAAATTACTACAGTGTTTTTTCCAGCATATGGCCTATTCGCTAAAATTTGTTAAAAATAAGTGAATTTTAAAAAATGTAACAGTGAATTAATAACAAACTAACCTGTTAACTTAATTATAAGCAAATCTTGGTTAATAGCATTTTATAATTAACAGGGTGGTCCTGGCTGGTGTTGCTCCATGGCTACAGTGTCAGCCCACACACAAAGGGTCTCTGGTTCGATTCCAGGTCAAGGGCATGTACCTGGGTTGTAGGTTTGATCCCGGCCTACTCCCTCCCTGTTTCCTTCCTCCCTCCTCCTCCCCTCCCTTCCCCTCTCTAAAAATCAATGAAAAAAATATCCTTGGGTGAGGATTAACAATAGCAACAAAAAATTAAAAGGGTGTTACTTTTCACTTATGACACACGGGCCAGAAATTTTGACCATTAAATTCAAAGTCCGTTAAATCAAGGTCCACAAAATTGAGGGTTTACTGTACAATTTTTTTTTTTTTTTTTTTTTGTAAAGAACTCCTGGTTCTTGTTTAACAGGTCTCTCTTAAATTTCTCTACTCTCAAATTTACTGTCACAAAAGAAACCAGGCTGCACCTCAACACTGTTTGGAAATCTCAGTTAAATTCATTGATTAGAAGTCCTGCTTGCCACATAACTACAGGACACAATTCCACCAACTTTCTGTCACTACATAACAAGGATCCCCTTTCCTCCAGTTTGTATCATCTTCCCCATTTTCTTCTGAGCTTCCAATAGCAGCACCTTTAAGGCCCATATTTTATTTTATTTATTATTATTTTTTAATCCTCACCTAAGGATATTTTTCCATTGCTTTTAGATAGAGTGGAAGGGAGGGAAAGGGGAGGGGGAAGAGAGAGAGAAAAAACATTGCTGTGAAAGAGACACATCGACTGGTTGCCTCCCACATGCACCCCACTGGGGCAAGGAATGGACCGGCAACCCAGGTATATGCCCTTGCCAGAACCAAACCCAAAGCCCTTGGGGATGCGGGCCAGTGCTCTAACCACTGAGACACCAGTCAGGGCAACGCCCATATTTATTCGGACAGTCACTACTCTATGTCACTTCTCTGTAGCAGAGTCATTGACATCCACATTTCTAGTAATGATCTGTTCAAGTCAATAGCGGCTTTTTCTATCATGCTCTTCAAAATATTTCCAGCAGCTGCTCACTGCTCAATTCCAAAGCCACTTCTACATTTTTAGATATTTGTTATCTAATAAGCAGCACTCCACTTCCGGGTACCAAAATCTCTATTAGTTTTCTTTTCTCATTTTTCTAGCTTTGAGATATAACTGACATATAACATTATGTAAATTTAAGGTACACAACATACTAACTTGATACACTTCTATATTGCAACACTCTACTGGTTTTCTATTGCTGCTGTAACAAATTACCACAAACTTAAAGGCTTAAGACATTCATTTCTTTATCTTTCAGCTCTGTAAGTCAGAAGTCCAAAATAGGTCACACTGGGCTAAAATCAAGGAGTCAGCAGGGCTGCATTCCTCTCTGGAGGCTGTGGGGGTGAGTCCATTCCTTACCTTTTCCATCCGAAACAAACGTCCTTGGCTCACGGCCCCCTTCCTCCATCTCCAAATCCAGCAAGATTGCATCTCTCTGGCCTGGCTTCCGACAACACATCTCCCTATGACCCTTCCTCCTGCCTCCCTCTTCCCTTTTTAAGGACCCTTAGCCTTATATTGGGCCCATCTGGATAATCCAGGATACTCTCCCTACCTGCTGATCAGCAACTTTCACTCCCTTCTGCCACGTGATGTAACACAGTCACAGGTTTTGGGAATCAGGATGGGGCCATCTTTGAGTGGGGGAGGGGCATTATTATTCTACCTACCACATTTACTAATCACTTAAAATGAACAAAAAACCATAATTTAAGGCAGCCTAATAAGATTCAGAGGGAATATTAGCAATTAAACAAACAAAAAACTCTCAATCAATAGTTGACTAATCTATTTTCAATTTTTCCAATATTTAGTGAAGCTAGCTGATCTAGTGAAGATTTTCTATGTCTTTCTTGTGGCAGACACTGTTCATTGGCTAATCCGATACCTATTTCCAAACCCTTCTTCCTTGCCTGCCCCTAATACTTGGGCTATAAAAACTAAATACTCACTTTCCTGAACGCCTAAGGATGGTCATATAATACAGCTGTGCCAAATGAAATCTAAAAATTGCCTTGGGAAAAGCTATTGCATAAAACTGATAAAAGAGGCAGCCAGATGGTGCTGCCCTCCCTGGCCCCCTTCCCAGTACCCCACCCACCTTGCATGGTGCGCTTCCAGTAATTCAGGTATCTATTTTGCAATAATGTGAGAATATCCATGAGAATTCAAGAGACACCAGCCCTGCCACTGTCGAACTACCGAACCAACACCAGCTACTCTAGCCTATTCTGTATCAGTGACTATTTACATTGCCTTTCAGCTTCCAGCTGAAAGCTCTGGAAATTGAAACTACATTCAACACAACTGCTGGTTAAACATAAGCACCCTCCTCCAAAATTTATTTTGTTTTACCAAAGCCATATTCACTTAAGTGAGTTATAATTAAGAAGGCAATTATTTTTTAAATAGCATCTGTTACATATTTTAGAACTCTAAATTATACATACTCATTCTAGGACATTTGGAAATGATCAAAAGTTTAAAGAAAATAAATAGCCACAACCCCAAATATCCAGAAATAACCTCCTGATAATAATATATCAGTGTATTTCCATCCACATGTTTTATGTACATATATAAAATATTGTTTTTAAGTGAGACTATATGGAATACACAGACTTGAATCTAACTCTCATCCAGCCCTTTACTGAGGACTTTTCCACATCACTAAAGATACTGCAGCCCAGCTGGCGTGGCTCAGTGGTTGAGCATCAACCAATGGACCAGGAGGCCATGGTTCAATTCCCGGTAAGGGCACATGCCTGAGTTGTGGGCTCGATGCTCAGTGTGGGGCGTGCAGGAGGAGGCCAATCTACGATTCTTTCTCATCATTGATGTTTCAATCTATCTCTCCCTCTCCCTTCCTCTCTGAAATAAAAAAAAAAAAAGGATGTTTCAAAAATATTTTCAAAAAATTAAAAATCAGATTATGAAATATGATTAAGTAAATATTAACAATGGTAGGCATTTAAGTTGTTTTATCCTTTTTGCCAATGTAAACAGTGTTGCAGTGAACATCACTGTATACATGTCTTTCGGTGCTCTCTCTGATTATTTTCTGAACATTGTTGCATAGATGTGGCATTACTGGGTCAAAGGGATAAACCCTTTCAAGCATTCAACAAAAGTTGCCAAACTGCTTTTTAGAGAAACTGAATCAATTTATTTTTCTACCTTCTTTCTATATACAAAATAGTCTCCCTTACAAGTAATGATTGTCTTTTTTCTTTTGCCAATTTGAGGAGTAAAAATATCATAACTCATTCTCGAGTTAATTTACATTTTCTGGTTACATTTTCTGAAAACGACTAAAGATATTTTGAACCTTTATATTGGTTATTTTATGAATTATCACTTGGAATTTTTTCAAGTAGAGGAGTTCTTTCTATTGTAAATATTCTGATGTAAATGTTTTATTTCAGTGTAACACAACTCCTTAGTTTTGTTTACATATATTTTAAAACATTTAAAATTTAATCATATCTATCATGTTATCAGATAGGGATGGTTTTTACATGACAACACATTTCAGAAAAGAATGCTTTGAGATATTCTTTTAAATTCCTATTGACTTTCTTACAGTCAAACAAGTAAAATTAATATCAAGAGAACAACAAGCATTCCCACTAAATAAATAAGTATTCCACCCTAGGTTTTGACCATTCACTTACCTGCTTGTGACAATGATGACATCCTCAGAGATGTTAGCCATTTCTTTGATGGTAAGGTAGCACATTCTTCTCAATATTTGCTGAAATTATTTATAAAAGGCAACAGGTTATTCCTAAGAAAATAGCTTTCTAAAATGTTTGAAATGAGAACACCAAGTAGATATATTTAGAAAGTTTTTCTTAAAAAGATTCTCATTCACCCAAAAAAGTCCTTTCAAAAGTATCTGGATAAGAAAATACTCAGAATACAACTATATCCTAAACACCAGTAGTTGCTGCACTGACACTGGAAAACACCTAGATGAAAACTCAAAATTTCAGTTAATTATCTGGATTTTTATGTAAAGAGACCCAAAGTTGGACTTGGGCAGTGTGAGTCCAAGGACTTCAGATTTTCTTTTTATCGTTGACTCTATTGCATGTGTCCCCATCCTCCCTCCCTTTGCCTTCCTTCGTCCTTCCCCCGCCCCCCTGGGTCTTCACCACACTATTGTCTGTGTCCATGGGTTATACATATACACAGATATATTCTTTGGTTGATCAATTCCCGTCCTCCTCATCCTCTTCCCCTCTGAGATCTGTCAGTCTGTTCCACGTATCCATGCCTCTGGTCCTATTTTGTTCATCAGTTCATTCTGTTCTTTAGATTCCTCATATAAGTGAGATTATGTGGTACTTGTCTTTCTCTGAGTGGCTTATTTCACCTATTAAAGACTTGTCCCGGAAAGTGTACTTTTTAAATTCTTTAAAAATAAAAATATAAAGGGATGGGCGGACTCTGCATTTTCCTTAGTTCATCATATTCAGATGTTTTCCTTAAAGTATCTGTGGTTGTATAACTAACTCTCATTTTCAACTATTAACATTTCTAGATACCTGGATCTAAAATACATGTTAAGCTAACAATAATAAAGTTTTGTCTACCTTTCTCCTCACCTGGATCTCTGATTTATCCATACACTATGAGCATTGGTTCCTCTGGCCTATCTAGCCTCATTCTCTACCAAGTAACTTCAAATGTCTATAAGTAGTGAAACTCAAATACATCAGACCCAGACTCAGAGTTTAAGCTATAGAAAGAATCTAGTGGAGACTACTGAGCCCAAAAAGAAAAAGGAACAAGAGTGTGAGGGTTCTCACGGTGATTAAACACACACACACACACAAAAACCTCCTAAAAAGAGAAAGCCAGTACAAGGCAGATATCCCATGTGAAACTACTAGGAGAAGAAAACAGAAAATAAGAATAAAAACTTCAGAGCTGAATATAAAAATAAAAATCTACCATGAAGGAGAATAAAACTGAAGATACAAAAAAATTAAAACCATATTTCAAATACCCAACAAAATGACTAAAATTTTTTAAGTGACAATACAAAGTATTGACAAAGTTGGGCTCATACCTACTAAAACATATTGCCTAAACAAATATACAGAGATGCTAAATAAAATAGGAACAAAAATTTTAAATATGTAGCCAAGGACAAAATAAAAGGCAATTCATAGGTGCCACAAATGGAAAAACAAACAACTCCTAGCTACAGAAATACAAGGCCAGGATCCTACTAGCATAAAATAAAGTCTAAGAAGGTATATTCTTCAGGCACAGGGAAAATTATTCTAGACAATAATTCAGAAATATAGCAAGAAATGAAGAGTAGAAAGAAAAAAGTGGTAAGTAGTAACAAGACAGTGTGGTATTGGCAAAAGAATAGACAAATTGATCAATGGAATATAATAGACCACCCAGAGATACACCCACATAAATACAGTCAACAGATCTTTGGCTTAAGAGAAAAGGCCATACATTGGCACAAAGACAAACTCTTCAACAAATGGTACTGAAATAACTGGACAGCCACATGCAAAAAATTAAATCTAGACTAACCTTACACCATTCACAAAAATTAACTTCAAATGGATCACAGACCTAAATATAAAATGCAAAACTGTAAAACTTAGAAGAAAACCTAGATAACTCTGGGTGTGGAGATGACTTTTTAAATACCAGTATAATACTCAAGGAATGATCATAATAGAATTAATTGATAAGCTGGCCTTTATTAAAATTAAAAACTTTTGTGCAAAAGACAGTATTCAAGAGTACGAACAAGCCACAGACGGGAAGAAAATACTTCCAGAACACATATCAGAGAAGGGACTGTTATCCAAAAGATATTTAAAAAAAATCTTTGCCTGCCCCAGCATAGCTCAGTGCTTGAGCACTGACCTATGAACCAGAAGTCATGACGGTTCAATTCCCAGTCAGGGCACATGCCCTGCGTGCGGGCTTGATCCCCAGTGGGGGATGTGCAAGAGGCAGCCAATCAATTATTCTCTCTCATCATTGATGTTTCTCTCTCTCTCTCTCTCTCTCTTCTTTCCTCTCTGAAATCAATAAAAATATATGTTTTAAAAAATCTTACAAGTCAAAAATAAGAAAACGACCTGATTTAAAAATGGACCAAAGATCTTAACAGACACCTCACTTAGGAAGATATATGGGTGGTAAGTATATAAAAAGATGCTCCACATATGTCATCAGGGAAAGGCAAATTAAAATGAGATACCAATAATATTCCTAATAGAATGGCCAGAATCTGAGCACTGACAACAGCAAATGACAAGAACTCTCATTCACTGAGGGTGGACACAAAACTAGTAGTCACTTTAGAAGATGTTTTGATGGTTTCTTACAAACTAAGTATACTATTACCATATGATCCAGCAATAGTGCCTCTTGATATTTACCCAAAAGAGTTGAAAACTTATGTCCACGTAAAAATCTGCACAAGGATGTTTACAGCGGCTTTACATTCATACCTGCCAGAAGTTGAAAGGAACCAATGTCCTTTAGTAGATGAATGGATAAACTGTGCTACATCCAGACAATAGAATATGATTCAGCATTAAAAATAAATGAGCTATCAAGCCATGAAAAGATATGGACGAAACTTAAATGCATATTAATTAACAAGTGAAAGAAGCCAATCTGAAAAGGCTATACTGTATGTTGTATAAATCCAACTATATGGTATTCTAAAAAAGGCAAACTTATGGAGACAGTAAAAAGATCCATAATTGCTGGGTATTAGTGGGGAGGGAATGGAGTTAGGGGGGAGTTAAGAGGAGTACAAAGGATTTTTAGGGTAGTGAAAATACTGTGTGATATTTTCATAATAAATGGATATCATTATACATTCTATGGATGTCAAAACCTATAGAATATACATACACCAAGACTGAACACCAACATAAACTATGGACTCTGGGTCACTATGAGGTACAGAAAACCCTTAATTTTGCAGACCTCAATTTAATGGACTTCGGATTTAATGGATAAAATTTCTAGTCTGTATGTCCTATGTGAAAATGAACACCCTGTCAATTTTTAAATGCTTTTAACCGAGATTTTGCTTATAACTAAATTAACAGGTTATTTTTTGTTATTAATTCACTGTTACTTTTAACAAATTTTAGTGAATAGGCCATATGTGGGAAAAACACTGCAGTAATTTCACCAACATAAATAAGTATTGACAACTCTAGTCTACATATTTAAATCCAAGTGTCATCACTCGTAAAGAATGTTCAGGTGAGTGATAAGCATGTGATCACACCGCACTGCACTCAGTGACTGGTCCTGTTGTTCCCTGGCGGGACTTTCTGCAGCAGTTTTTTTAACACGTGTGGGCTGATGTTCCCACATGCGCTAAGCCATGCCCAGGCGTGTGCACTTGTTTACTCTCGGTGACTGGTGAATGCATTCATTTGCTAGACCTATTCAGTATAAAGTTAAACAGTAATACATATAGAAAACTCCTATATGTATTACAGTAATACATACAGAAAACTTCTGTGAAATTAAACTTTTCATTCATAATTTTAACTACACGAACATATCTACATAAGTAAAAAACAGGTAAACTAATTTGTTAATTTTTTAATATATGCATTCAGAAAACCTACTTTATTATATATCAGACTTTCAGCTTTAGTGGACACCCCCCTCTCTCGAATTAGTCTGTTATACAGAGGTATTACTGTATCAATATAGGTTAGTCAATTGTAACAAATGTACCACTTTGGGGAATATTGATAATGGGGAGGCTGTGCATGTGAGGGGACAGGGAGTATATGGAAAATCTCTGTACCTTCCTCTTAATTTTGCTGTGAACCTATAACTGCTAAAAAATAAAATAAAATCCTTTATTGAAAAGTGGTAAAGGCATGAGTAAATGTGCAGGAACAGAAACCGAGGTTATGACATACACTGTTTATATACTCACAAATATATTAAGTACGAAGCATTCTAAGGTTCTCAAATGTCCACGAACAGGTAAAAGGTAAAGATGAATATTAGACTTTTAATAAGTCAAAAGTCCATGTTGCAATTTCTAGGCTAAACGCTAAATAGAACTTCGAAACTATTATTCCACATGTTGTTGCTGCTGTTCTGTTTATTTTTATTCAGTCTCTTTTCTGTTTCATTTTGGACAGTTTCTATCTTCAAACTCACTGATTTTTCCTCCTGTAGTCTTTATGCTATTAACCCAATGCAGTGTATTTAACCCAATGATAAATATATAGATAGCTTTTTAAAAATTTCTGAGTGTCTCTAGATGTCTTATTTTGCTTCTCATTCTTGTTATGTCTTTCTAAACATTCTTAAGCATCTAGACCAGCAGTCACTAACCGGTGGTCCGTGAGGTCCGAAAGGTTGGCAACCGCTGATCTAGACCATATCTAGAATAGCTATTTTAACGTCATTACCTGAACATCCATCGTCTTTATTATTTCGGGGTTCGTGTGTGTTGATGCATCTTTCTCCAGATTATGAATAATTTTTTATTGCATGCTATACATTGTGAAGTTTATGTTGTTAGGCGCTGAATTTTGCTGTATATTTTACATAATATTGTATATATTGTTTACTTATTATGAAGTTGTTACCTGGGATCAGTTTTTCACATTTCAGGCTTGCAAGAAGTTTAACACATTGTATGCGGGAAACGTATTTATACGTTTTACGTTGACTGGTAGTAGAGCGCAGGACACGTATTAATACGTTTTTTATAGA